CAAGCAAGTAGCAATGGCTAAACTTTAATCTATCAAAACCCAAGAAACCCAAGAAGGGGTACCTAACTATTTATAGAGGTGGGAGGACGACCAAGAGGGTCCAAGGGTCGTGCTTCACCAGATTGGGGTGCACCCCACATGGGCCCCACATGGGCCAGGGTCCCAAACAAAGTTACAAGCCCATTGGCCCAATACAGGTGACGCAGCACCTTGCTTCTGTGATTGCGGCCAAACGAGATAGAATTCCGAGATGAGGCTAGATCCGTTGGAAGGAGGACTTCGAGAGCTTTCCATCAAGTACTCACGGGCCCAAAACGGAGCACGTATGTAGATTTGGCGGCCGTTTGAAGTCAGCAATGTAACACGTGGCCGAATCAGATTGCAGCACATGGAGGACTTGATCTTGATGTCTTCTTGTTGATTCATGATGTGAGCAATGGTTGTATCCATAGTAGCCATGGTCACATCATCTTCTACTACCGAAACAGAAAAAACGATAACTAATCCCTGCTCCAGCGCGATGTCGTCGATGGCTTCCACCCGGACCATCTCCTGGTCCACCTCCACGGAGCGCTCGGCGACGCCGGACTCCGCCTCCTCGTCGCCGGCCACGCTCGTGGTCTGTCCGGTCCTCTCCATGTCTCGGCGTCGAAGTGGAGCTCCTGCACGGCGACGGAGAGGAGGCCACCGATGCACTGCGCGAACCCGTCCTGGATGAACGCCTCGTTCTCGATGAAGGAGAACGTCCCGCCGGTGACCTCGGCGATGGTGTGCATCGCCACCGCGTCGTGGTCCTTGCTGAAGCCGAACGTGTGGACCGGTGGGGAGCGGTCGCCACGGCCGCAGCCGTCGGTGCGCACGAAGGACGGCGGCACGAGCGTGTCGTAGTTGGCGTCGCGGCCGCCACCTCCTCCTGCTCCGGCGCTGCTGCGCAAGTCGGCCAGCGACGACCGGGAGCCGCCGCGTGTGCCGCTGCCTCTCCGTCACCTGGAGAGAGAGGAGAGGAGAGTGGGATGAAGAGAGGGGATATGGGGAAGAGAGGAGGAAGGAGGAGGGGTGAGGATGACATGTGGGGCCCATGTAGACCCCACCATTTTTAATTAATTTGTGTGTGAAACTAACACGTGGGTCCACGTTGGCGACACGTCAATGCCACGTCAGATGAAGACCGAGTCAAATCAACCACGTAGGCGCCACGCCAGCCAAAACCACTCTCAAAACCGCCGAGGGACCCAATCTGCACCGGTTTTAATAGTTGAGGGATTCGTTGTATCTGGTTTTTCAGTTGAGGGACGAAAATCGAATTCGTTGACAAGTTAAGGGACCTAAGATGAACTTATTCCAATATCTGTGTATTGTTTACTTCCGAAAACATACCTTTTCTTATAAAAATTCTTATGTCGGAAATGTATAGGGATATTGTGTGGAGTATATACGTTCCTCTTCTTTTTCCTGAATTTTCTTTTGTGAAAGGGATATTTTGCTTTTGTTTTTATTGACTTGTATTATGTGGCCACTAGAAAAGTTCATGTCTTTGTGGACAAAGTTATTTTGTCATCTTCACACACACACACAAAAAAAAATCATTCTGCCAGCTTCTAAAATGAATAACTAACAACTCCCTTCTTAAAAAAAAAAGAACTACTCCATCAGTTTAATATTATAACACTTTCTATCATTGCCTATATTCCTATAGATGTTATGTGCATATATTCATTAACATATATATGAGGACCATGATAGAAAGTCTTATAATATGAAACGGAGGAAGTAACCTTGTACTAGGATGTTACATCTTAGTATAATAAATTTGGACATAGGCTGTGTTTAGTTTGTATGCCAAATTTTTTTAAGTATACGGATATACATTTGAAGTATTAAACGTAGACTAATAACAAAACAAAAACAAATTATAAAATCCGCCTGTAAATTGCGAGACAAATCTATTAAGCCTAATTAATCTGTCATTAGCAAATATTTACTGTAGCACTACATTATCAAATCATGGCGTAATTAGGCCCAAAAGATTCGTCTCGCGATTTACATGCAAACAGTGCAATTGGTTTTTTTTCATTTACATTTAATGCACCATGCATATGTCTAAATATTTGATGTGACGGAAAAGTTAGAAATTTGAAGAAAATAGTTTGAATCTAAACACGGCCAAAAGCAACCTCATACTAAGATATTCAGATTCGTTCTAGTATGAGGTTGATTTTTTTTGGGACGAAGAGAGTACACGTGTAGAAATTAAGCTAGAATATGGACACATTTTGGATCGGTCATTGGACACATTCACTGCGAGTTTGAGTCCATTATTTCAATCTTGAATAATATTACGTCACCATGAAAAAAAAATTAGTCCAATTAATGACCTTAATTCACGCTATGCTCTATCAACCTTTAATCTTACAGGTTCAGATGCATGTTTCATTCCAAGAAGGAAAAAGTACACCGAAGGTCACTCGACTTGTCATCGGGATAAAAAACGTACTCGAACTACAAAACCAGATATGCGATGTCCCTTAACTATACAAAACTGGTCATAATAGGTCTTTCGGTGGTTTTGATCCTGGTTTTGTACTACGCGACTGCTCAGTCAGCGTGAGACCCACGTGGGACCCACATATCAGCCACCTCTTTCTTTCCCGTCTTCTCTCCCTTCCTCTTCTCTCTCTCACTCTTCTCTGGCTTTTGGCAGGCCGGCGCCGCCGCGGAGGGAAACTCCACCATCTACTGCGCCTCCGCAACCAACTCCTCCGCCAGTGGTTACCGCGCCGTCACGCCATTCGTCAGCTTCTCCCAGGTATCCGGCGGCGGGGAGGCTTTGTCTGCGGGCTGCAGGTCGGGGGATGCGCGCTCTTCCGCTGGCCCGCCGCGGCGCCTTGGTCAGCTCAGGCGGGTGTACAACGGCCCGGACCAGCTCGTCAAGCTCGCCGTCGGGGACGGCCATGTCGCAGCATACGACGCTGAGGCGCGGGCCATACGATGATGGCGTTCGCCTCCCTCGTCTCCGGCGACGACTTCACCTGCGCCATGGAGACGAACACCTCCGCCGTTCGGTGCCGGGGCCCGCGCGGTGGCGCCGTGGAGGCGGGTTTTCTCAACACCTCCATCTCCACCCTCACCGCGGGAGGTTCCCGCGCGTGCGGGGTGAGGAAGAACGACGGCGGCGTGCGCTGCTCCGGCGGTGGTGTGCTCGCGCCGCGCGAGGACCTGTACATGGATGGCCTGGCCATCGGCGACTCCCACGCGTGCGGCCTCCCCCGGCCAAACCACACCGCCACGTGCTGGAGCCTCGGGTGCGACACCACCACGCTCTACTACCCGGCGGTCAGCACGACGTTCGAGCTCCTCGTCGCCGGTGGTAACCTCACATGCGGCCTCGTGTCGACCAACTTCAGCTTGCTCTGCTGGTCGATGGATGGGTTGATGGCGGCGGAGGTGAATCTGCCGTCGATCCTCCCCGGCGTCTGCGTCTCTGACAACAGCTCGTGCAAATGCGGCCTGTTCCCGGACTCCGGGAGGTTCTGCAAGGTCTCCGGCGACATCATCTGCAAGGTCTCGCCGCATCCATGCGCAGGGCGGGGAGAGGAGCGGAGGTGGAGATGGACGCTGCGGCGGTGCTCAATCGACCAATCGACCAAGCCACCGCCGCCGCCGACTCCTTCCCGCGTCCTCCACCGGCCCCGCGGCGACACCCTTCCCAGGTCACCGCTCTTCGCTGCTAGTGTGCCAGGGCGAGCGCCGCTGCCAGGATGCTGACCCTGGCCGCGGCCTCCTCACCCTCGCCGCCTTACTCCCCTCGCCGCCGCCGACACTCCTCCCCTGCTCCCGCGTCGTCTCCGCTGCCGCCGCCGCCACGTCGCCGGCCACCAGACCTCCTCTCCCGCCTCACCCCGCCGGATCTCCTCCTCCGCCTCGCCCCGGCGTCCGCCTACCCAGAGCCAAAGAAAAGTGAGAGAGAGAGAAGAGGAAGGGAGAGAAGAGGGGAAAGAAAGAGGAGGCTGACATGTGGGCTCACGTGGGCCCCACGCTGACTCAGTAGCCACGTAGGACAAAACCGGGATCAAAACTGCTGAGGGACCTATCGTGACCGGTTTTGTATAGTTAAGGGACCAATCATATCTAATTTTACGGTTCGAGGATGTTTTTATTAATCCCGATGACAAGTTGAGGGACCTTTGGTGTACTTTTTCTTTCCAAGAATAGAGTTGGAGAAAATTGGGCCAAAATCTTTCTACAGGCCCAACTCGGCATTTCTCTTCTGGCTCCCATTTTTTGCCCTTCAGTTTATAAATCGTATTTAATATTTAACTTTTAAAACTAAAATTTGAAGTTTATTTTAAGATTTTTCATCAAAGTTTATTTTTTACATTGACTTTTAAATCACTAAGGACACATATATCAAATTTTTACCACAAACTATTATTTTGTTGATAAGACTTATAGCTTATAATCAGCATACGGACAACCGACGGGAGGCGAAACCCAAAGCAAACAATATTCATTTTTTGGAACAAAACATTTCCTTTAAGCTAAGAAAATTAGGTTTTAATTTGTGACAAAACTTGGGCACCCTTAGGCCTCGTTTGGCAATGCAAATACTTCCCCATACCAACAAATGGGCCAGAAAATTTAGTTCACATTATTGGCCTACTTCTGGATAGGCTAATATCTGTGTATTGTTTACTTCAGAAAACATACATTTGCTTAAAAATTCATATGTCAGACATGCAAGGCAAGGCAAGGTAGGATTAAAACTCTGGAGAGCAGTCGAACAGAAGAAATTGGTCAGAGTTCTCATTGTTTTCTATAGTTGAAACGACTGGTCATATTCAATTTCACTTCAGGTAGAGGTTGGTTTGGCTTGCCCGCACTAGTTTGTTCTTGCAGCAACAATTGGCGCCGAGGTACTAGGAAATGCAGAAACACAGCCCTTCCCAAGATCAAAAAGGCAAAACTGTAGTCGCAATGCCAAGAGATTTCTGCAAGAAAACTGAGCAAAATCAACAGTTTCATTAGCTTCACCATTAGTTCCAACACAGTGAACATCACAGGAGCAGCTTAATTAACATTGTACCATTATTAGCACCATACTGCATCTAAACGGCTCGCCGATTCTGAACTATTAACTACTTAACACTTAACTAGTAGCAGCAGCAAAATTCTCCATAAGATTTGGTCATCTCTGAACTAAGGTTTCAAGCTGCTTCAGTGCAACATCTTGGCACCCAGATAGACAATGCAAGCAGCGACGGCGAGCGACATGGCGGCGACCAGGTTCTTCCACCCGATCCCCGAGGCGCTGCGGCGAGCCTTCCGCGCCGTCCGGACGGCGGCGTAGTAGCGCCTCGGGCTGGCCCTGAACACGGCGCGGGGGACGCGCGCACCGCCGAGCCCTGGGCCCTTCATCGTCCGGCAGGTGAGGGCGCACACGGCGCCGCCGAGGAACGCCACGGCGAGGAGCGCGATCGCCAGGAGCGCATACACCGCGACGCCGCCGTGGCCATGCGTAGGCATGGGCGTGGCATCCGCCGAGCAATGCGCTCCTCCTCCCATGGCGGCGGCGGCGGCTTCCGGGAGATTCTCGACGACCTTGTCTCCGGCCGTGACCAGCCGTCCGCAGAGGTCGTGCGCCTGCAGGAGCTTCGACGCCATTGCCAGCCACGGCTGCGACGCCTCGGCCGCCGACCCCGCCGCGTTCTTGGCCGCGTCCGGGAGCATCTCGACAGCCACAGCGCTCACCGCGACCAGCCACCCGTAGAGTCCCCAAAGGAGCTTCGCCGCCACTGCCAGCCACGGCTGCGAGGCTTCTACCGTGTACTCCACCGTGTTCTTCGCCACGCCGGGGAGATTCTCGACGGCGACCGCAATCGCCGCAACCAGCCACCCGTAAATCACCTGCAGGAGCTCCGCCGCCGCTGCCAGCCATGGCTGCGAGGCTTCCACCGTGCTCTTGGCCACGCCGGGAAGGCTCTCGACGGCGACGGCGACGGCCGCGAGCATCCACCCATATAGGCCGTGCAAGAACTCCGCCGCCACTTGCAGCCATGGCGCGGAGGCTTCCATCGCGGACCCCGCCGCTCCCTTGGCCACCGCGGCGGCGACGGGGAGATTCTCCACGGCCACGCCTCTCGCGGCGACGAGCCAGGCCCAGAGGTGGCGCAGCAGCCACGCCATTGAGGCACCCACGGCCTCCCTTGTCACGGCCGCCGGGAGCATCTCCACGGCGAAGGCCTTGGCCGCGTGCGCCGCGCCGGCGACGACGGCCGAGAGGTTGGCGATGGGGACGACCATGGCGACGAATGGCTCGCTACACTGTGCGGCTCGCGGCTTCGTTTCTATCGAGGAGACAGTGAAGGAAAAGATGGGCAGAAAAGGAGAAGCGAAAAGACGCACCCACCCAGGCCGCACCGGGTGAACTGAAGAAAAGTAAGGGAAGGATGCAAAATTGCAAACGGCTCAACCTGTAAATCCGTTTATAGGCAAAATTAGTAAGTAATCTACGAATTGATTTATAGATTATCTACTAATTTAATTTTATAAATGAGTTTATGGGTTAATTCACTTACATCTCTATCTCGCAGCAAGTCGAGTAAAAAAATCTTGGATTACTCTTTGTTTAACTACGAATTGATTTATAGATTAGCTACTAATTTAATTTTATAAATAAGTTTATAGGTTAATTCACTTACATCTCTATCTCGCAGCAAGTCGAGTAAAAAAATCTTGGATTACTCTTTGTTTAACGCGAGTCGGCCCGCTTACATCCCAGCAGCAAGTAGCATGAGTGTGCTTTGCGCTTTGCTTAGCGTGGTTGTACTCCGGCGGTAGCACACACTGCAACTTGCAGTGTCTATCTTGAGCACATGTGACCGCCGATCTCTAGCTGAAAATGTACTGAAATCAGATCAGCATCCTCTCTTTTCTTCCTTTGAACCAATAATTGCGTATGAAATTTCATCGAAAAACTGGATCCATTTGCTACAAGAACGACAGCAGAGACAAATTCTCAAGGTTCCAGTAATTTTTCTAAATATAAGATGGGACTATCTATATTTATGATGCTGTATTGAAACTTATATATTTTGCATTATGAGTTGCATATATTTTTCTAATATCTACTATATTGGATAGCTGCAAATAAAACCATCAAAAGCTGCACGTTAAGTTTTTAATTAATCATGTTATAACAACCGCGACGTCTCATAAATATGGAAACCAAAGTTTGCCAGTTGCCACAGCAATATGCACGGACAATCGGACATGATCATACTAGCATGGGACTAAAGAAAATCCGCCGCTTCAAAACGTGTGATGGAGGAGAAATTGTGTGGACGCAATTCTAGCAATTCCTACATAAGATTAATTGTTGCGTACGGTTAATTTTGTGCGAGTACACCATTCTAGTAGTAGGTGGCATTAGTATAGTTGTACTCTAACCATTCTTTTATATAGAGTAAATATCACAAAACCCCAAGTTTTGAGGCACATGTAGCATAAAACCATACATGTATTATGATTTGTTTCAAGGAACCCTAAGTTTTTGGGATAAAGTGTTTAAAAAAAATCATGCTTATATCACATACTCATAATTTCATTATTATATATAATAATTTGAGCATATGTTTACATCAGTACGCTCAAAATACATACCCCTCGAGTGTACTTTATCTTTCTCCTTACTCTTACATTGCACGATAGAAAAAACACAAAACAACCCTACTAATAATGGCATATTCACCGGTTATTTATATTGGTAAACATTAATCACACTACTAATAACTGATGCAACGATGCTCGTTAAAATGAGGCTAAGGTTTATATAAACTCTGGAATATCTCATTATTTTTTTGCAACTATTATGCGTAAATATATTAGCAAAACAATAATGTAAGCTTAAACATGAGGTCTCTTGGACCATTTCACCCCAAACCTAGAGTTCTTTGAAACAAATTGTAATATCTGGGGTTTTACATTATGAGTGCCAAAAACCTAGGGTTTTGTGAAATTTACTCTCTGTATATTTTTTGAAACGATTTAATAATTTAGGAAACTACTCACAATGCTATCGAAGGTATTTAGTTGATCACATTCTTGATGGGCATGACTTCCATGTTCATATCTCTTTTTGTTCCCTTCCGTATCCCCTAATGAATCAATGGTGGCATGTGCTCCATGCTGCCCGGTGGTATATAAAGGAAAAAACTTTCTTCACCAATATTTCCTTAAAATCATTTTGAATCAACTTATTAATCTTTTAATATTTAATTTATTTTTCCCTCAAATAATTATTATAAGGATAATTTTGTTATTATTGGGAAGGCATTAAGAGGTACATTTTCTAGTGTAGAACTTTATACCTCCACAAAAATTTTAAGTAAAAACTTTTGGAACTTACATGTACTGTCTCGAGAACCATAATATTTCTCTTATTATGAACTTAGTTTCACCCATCGTCTATCGAGAACGCACCCATTAGTCACATAGCTTAACACACTGGTGGAGAAACCATCTTTCGTCGGTCGGCCGATTTCCACAATAGTCCCGGATGCAATAAAAACCGGGGCTAAAGATGATCTTTAGTCCCGGTTCAAAGGGGTAACGGGCATATTTGATCTTTAGTCCCGGTTTGTGTTACCAACCGGGACTAAAGATCATCTTTAGTCCCGGTTCGAATGCTGTCAGGACCTGTCAGGCCCCCCCGGGATCTTTAGTCCCGGTTGGTAATACCAACCGGGACTAATGATCCCGGTGATCTTTAGCCCCGGTTGGTGCTACCAACCGGGACTAAAGTCCCACCCCTATATATATGTCTTCTTCGTCCTCCAGCTGCCCGAGCAAGCTTCAAAATTTCTTCAAAAAAGAGGGGAGGTCATGCCAAAATTTCTATTGAATTTATTTTGGTGATTACATACAAATCGGAGGTGCCTAAAAGGTTTGCAACTTCATCCTCCAATGTTTTTTTTTGTCATACTACATTTGCACCTATGTTTTGCACACTTTTTTTGTCTCCAAAATTTAGTTGTAAGTTGATGAGAGAGAAAATGTGTGTGGGGAAGAAAGAATATATAGAAATTTAGTTCATTTGCTAAACAAGGTTTTATAAAATAGTTGAGAAGGAAAACTCTAGTGAAAGTTAATATTAAATAATAGAAAACAAACTAAAATAAAAATTAAAAGAAGTAAAACACATTAAAATTAGTTTAAAACTTTACAAATAGTTTTTAAGAATTATTTGGTGTAAAATTTTATGATTTTTGTATGAATAAAGATATCTTATAATTATTGTATGACTGTCATTATTGTAAGAATAATTATTTGTGTGCGGTTTTTTTGACTCATGTAGATGGATCGGCAATGGATGTACGCTGACCGGCGGTCCAAAGAGTTTATTGACGGCGTGCACTATTTTTTGAGAGTGGCCGAAGCTAACAGGCAAAGGGGTTTTATTTGTTGTCCATGCAATAAGTGTAAGAATCAGAAGGAGTATTCTGCATCCAGGACTATTCATTTCCACTTGTTTGAGTCGGGGTTCATGCCAAGCTATAATTGTTGGACATCCCACGGAGAGCAAGGTGTTGAAATGGAAGAAGATGAAGTGGAAGACGACAATATTCCGGACTTTGCTCAGTATGTTGGATTTGAAGGAAATCAAACGGGCGAGGAGGAAATAGCTGCTGATGGTAACGACGTTGCGGATGATCTTGGTCAGATGTTGCAGGACACCAGGGAAGACTGCGAAAGTGAAAAGGAGGCCCATAAATTGGACAAGATGTTGGAGGACCACAGAACTTCGTTGTACCCAGGTTGCGAGCAGGGGCACAAAAAGTTGGATACCACTCTGGAGTTGTTGCAATGGAAGGCAAAAAATGGGGTTAGTGACAAGGCATTTGGCGATTTATTGAAACTCGTCAAGAACATTTTTCCGGGGGGAAACAAATTGCCCGAGACAACGTACGAGGCTAAGAAGATAGTCTGCCCGTTAGGACTGGAAGTTCATAAGATTCACGCATGTCCGAACGATTGTATCCTATATCGCGGTGAGGAGTATGAGAACCCAGAAGCATGCCCTGTTTGCAAAGCACTACGATACAAGATTAGACGGGACGATCCAGGAGAAGTTGACGGGCAGCTAACAAAGAAGAGAATTCCTGCTAAGGTGATGTGGTATTTCCCTATAATACCACGGCTAAGGCGTTTGTTCAGGAACAAGGGGAATGCTAGAATGTTGCGATGGCACGCTGAAGAGCGTCAACAGGACGGGATGCTGAGACACCCCGCCGATGGTTCGCAGTGGCGAAACATCGACAGAAAATTTAAAGAATTTGGAAAGGACGCACGAAACATACGGTTTGGTTTGAGTACGGATGGCATGAATCCTTTTGGAGAGATAAGTAGCGGCCATAGCACTTGGCCCGTTACGATGTGTATCTACAACCTCCCCCCCTGGCTATGCATGAAGAGGAAGTACATAATGATGTCGATTATTATTCAAGGCCCCAAGCAACCTGGTAACAACATCGACGTGTACCTAAGACCACTGGTCGAAGATCTTAAACAGTTGTGGAAGAAGGAAGGTGTCCCCGTGTGGGACGAGGACAAACAGGAGGAGTTTAACCTACGAGCGCTGCTGTTCGTAACCATCAACGATTGGCCTGCACTTAGCAACCTATCCGGACAGTCCAACAAGGGGTACAAGGCTTGCACTCACTGTATGGATGAAACAGAAAGTACGTATCTTAAGCACTGTAGGAAGGTTGTATACATGGGTCATCGTTGATTCCTTGCAGCAAACCACCCGGTACGGAAGAAAGGCAAGCACTTCGAACATAAGGCCGACCACCGTACGAAGCCTAAACATCGCAGCGGGAAAACAGTGTTTGCTATGGTTAAAGATCTTAAAGTAGTGTTCGGAAAGGGGCCTGGAAGCCAGCATATAGAGAGCGAAGATGGTCACACGGCGATGTGGAAAAAGAACTCTATATTTTGGGAGTTACCATATTGGGAATTCTTGGACGTACGCCACGCAATCGACGTGATGCACCTCACTAAGAACCTTTGCGTAAACCTTCTTGGCTTCCTAGGTGTATACGGAAAGTCGAAAGATACACTGGAAGCACGTAATGATCTGAAGCATATGGAACAACGCGGCGACCTTCACCCGGAACCAAAGGAGAAAGGAAGCCATTACTTGAGTCCAGCCAGCTACACTCTTAGCAAGGCAGAGAAGGAAAGTATGTTTGAATGCTTGGAGAGCATAAAGGTACCGTCTGGATACTCCACGAATATCAAGCGAATAATAAGCACGAAGGAGAAGAAGTTCACAAACCTAAAGTCTCATGACTGTCACGTGTTGATGACACAACTGCTACCAGTTGTAATAAGGGGTATCCTTC